CAGCAAATCAGCATATTAGAATGATTTCTGAAGGATCATGGAACATTAAAGACTGGAGAAATTATGCTGAAAATTCAGCTTTGATCACAGAAGTCAATTTTACTATAGAAAACAGTTATTTGAAATTGTAATATTATTTTGAAAAATTACTTTTTACTTTTGATTTTGATTAAGTGCAGCTTTGCTGAGCATAAGAGGCTTCGTCGTACCGGCCCAAAAGTTTTGAATGGTAGTTTATATATAATTCTATTTAGAAAATGCATATCAATATACTGTATATCAATACTGCTAAATTAAAAAATCTCTATTGGCTGATAACTGATACAGTATTTAATAATAAATTACATACCCCCAATAAACATTTTATGTGTAATACATTTTGTTTATAGTTCTTTATCTATTCAGGATTTTGTTTGGTTAAAGATCCAACTTGATTTTGAGATCTGCAGCTCCGCTTTGCATCTGTGGTGTGGGCATATTTCTGTGGACTTTCATATAAGTGAGTCCTTTGATGATTTCATTTTCGATAATGACCTCGGTATCCAAGGAACTGTCCACTTTTGATTCCGCCTGCTCACTGATGGCTCACTGAAAATGAACCGAACTTTCTCAGCATGTATCATCATTTTGTGAAGCTTTCATGCCAAAACTTGAAGTCTCTTAAAGTTTAAAGACTTTTTAACTTTTAACTTTACTTTTCAGCTCATGGTGTCATTTTCGAAACAAAAGTAAAGTTCTCATTAAATGGGCTGATGTGGCAGAGTTTTTAATAGGGAAAGTTACAATATGTCACCATTTATTCATACTCGCGTTGCTCCAGAACTATTGGAGTTTCCGCAATGTTCTTGCATTATAGTCATCTGAAGCCATAGGCGTGTACTAAATGACTGTGACTAAAGTGTAATCATTTTTTGTGTCGCGTCCATGCTGGATTAGTTGTGTGATGATGTTTTTGTGGCGTAGGTGCTACAGGCGATGGGTTACCCCACAGGCTTCGACACAGACCTGGACTCCATGAGTGCAGACGAGAAGTCGGACGGGGAGGGCAAGAACGAAACGTCCACACACTCAAGCAATAACACACCACACTCCTTAGACAGCTCCAACACGTTGGAGGTACCCACACACACACTCACTAAAGTGTTTAGTAAATGTTTTTACTATGTTCTAGTCAAGTCACATTTATTTATTTTTAAGCACAATACAGATAGCAGCTTCACAAGAAAATAACAGAAATAGGGCCAGATTTACTAACAGTTCGCACCAGCACAAACCCTCTTTTGGCATTAAAAAAATAGTCAGGATATAAAACTGAAAAATTAGTGACGAAAAGGCATGGACAGTTATTTTTGCAACTGACATTACTGCATATGTGGCAGTTTCCCTTTCAGATGTAAAATTTATAGGAGGAGAGTATTCAATGTGATTTTCTCAGGATTGCATTGATCACTGGTATTGGTATTTATGCCATTATTTAGCACCCAAAAAGCATGTCTTAACCCATTTCATGCTTGACGTGGCAGCAATAGTAGTTCATTTGAGCTGCTCCTGGTAGATTGCATTGGTCATTATGGAAATGGTCAGCGTCTGTGTTCTTTATTTGCCAATTTTTCATTAGATCAACTGCAGAATTTTACACTCCCATCTGTGTTTTTATTGGATTGCGCTCTCATGCTAATTTTCTCTGTTTAGTAAATCTGTCCCTAAATGTTTCAATTTCAG